CACACACACACACACACACACACACACACACACACACACACACACACACACACACACACACACACACACACACACACACACACACACACACACACACACACACACACACACACACACACACACACACACACACACACACACACACACACACACACACACACACACACACATGGAGAAAGGCTGGACCAGTATATCGTCTGAGTGCCCTAAGAGTAGCTTGCGCCTTCCGCACAATATCTGAGGAAGCAGTGTGCGTCATTTCTGGAACTCTACCTCTCAGAGTCCTAGCTGAAGAAAGACGGAACCTTTACCAACGAAAGAGGTCAACAACACTGATTGCAGAAGAACTCAGAACGGAACAAAGACAGCACAGCATCGCACGATGGCAATCTCAGTGGGATGCCGCAGAGAAGGGTAGATGGACGCATCGTCTCATACCAAAGATCGACATTTGGCTGAACCGGAATCACGGTGAGGTCAACTACTACCTAACACAGATGTTGTCAGGACATGGCTGCTTTCGGGCTTATCTTCACCGCTTTAGGCATGACGACTCTCCGGAGTGCCCGTCCTGCCCTGAAGCCACTGAAGATGCAGAGCACGTTTTTTTCGAGTGCTCGCGTTTCAATCAACAACGTGAGGAGCTGGAGAAGATCCTGAAGAAGACAATTCAACCAGAGTCAATCGTAGAAGCAATGCTGTCTTCAGAAGCTGCCTGGAATGCAACGAACACTTTTGCCACAGAAGTGCTTACAGAGCTGCGTTCCATCGAGAGAAAAAGAGCAAAAGACAGAATCTAGAAGGAAAATAACATCTTAGCCACCAGATGGAAGAGCGGCAGCTAATTCCTCCCCTCGCGAAGAAATGCCTTACGGCGGTACCATGGGGGATCAGAGGATAGAAGAGAAAGGGGTTTAGGGTTTAGTGGGTAGGGGCGTCAGCGTCAAGTTTTAGTATGATGCTGCGTCGAGTCGCCACATATCCGGGCCAACATCTATGCCTAGAATCCGTAAAAAGGATTCCCCCCTCCCCTAAAGGGGAAAAAAAAAACACACACACACACACACACACTTCCGAACGTCCAGCCGGAAGTAGTTCACTTCTTACCTTTGAAAACTAAATTATTAATTTTCAAACCGGGAAGCTAAAAATAAATTTTAATTCTAACTAGCAATAACATTTTTAAAAATTTTTTTTATGAATAAAATTTTTATCTATCAATAGATGGAATATAATTTTTAGTGTTGAAATTTCGTGTCATTTTTTTTATTCATTACAACTGATTGGATCGAGTATTTCTGAATAAAAACTAAAAATGAATATTAATTTTGAACGCAAAAATTTTCAACTATTTTTAAACCAAAATCGTTGAATTTCCTAATAATAGACTACTTTGCAAAATTTTGTTTGTTACAAATTTCGTAAAGTTCCTGTAACTATCAAATCAAAATTCTTTATTAATTGAATAAAATTAAAATTTTGTCCTTTCCGAATGAATTAATTTCTTTCTGAAAACCAAGCAATTATTTTTTTTATTTAATTTAGAAAATTAGATCAACTTGAAATCAAACAGTAAAAAAAATAATAAGGGTAGTTCAATTTAATTTTCGCTGGAGTACGCCCTTTTGACAAAAACAAAATCATTATCAAAATTAATGCAAGTGGACTTAATTGTGTCACAGTAACATGATTTGATCGTTACCCACCGTTATATCTACTTTAGTACAATTTCCGAGCGTTATATAGACAATAGATGATGACAGAAGCACAAATACCCGTAAGATACATACACCGAGCTTTAGTATAGTAACACATAAGCATTGTAGGTCGTTATTATATACATATACATATTGAAGTAACATTAGAGTAAATGTACACCAATGCATTGACTATCTTCTAAAACGTAAGAGACTGTTGTCTTCTTCGTGCATCAATGATACCATCACAACCAACCATCATCCTCTATTCTCTCAGTCGCGTCTCACTCATTGCGCTCTCATCCTCACCCCCGTATAGTTAAGTAACGTTGATGACTGTCGACAGGTGAAGCTGACGTGCCGAGCAAAAGGCGTGCCTCTACCTCGCGTCAATTGGAAACGTGAGGATGCCAAGAATATTATTATTCGTGAGCCAGTGGTTGCTTCCAATGGTCAAAAGTCCAAAGGTAATTCCTTCGATCTTTCTTCTTGTTCTATTGTATTTCATATTTTTGTAAAATTACGTTTATTTGACGTTCAAGAAATCCTGAAGTTGAAAAATGAGATTTCAAATTCTTTTTTAACTTATAAGTTCATAAATTGAATGATGGATTCGGTTTAGTTTACAAGGAAGATTAATTACAATGTTTGTCATCAAAAGTTTTATAATAATTTTCAAATAGTTATTATGATGATTGTAGTATTTGTTTTTTAATCAATTTTCATATTTTGAAGATATACGCCGGAAGATATAGAGCGAATTTGAATGAGACTGAAATTAACAGACATCTGAAAGTTTTTTTAACAATTAAATTATTATGAAAAAAATTTCATACATAGAAATTTGAAAAAAGTTTGGAAAATCCAAAAGTGCATGACTCATAATGCTCATTTAATTATGAAATATTAAAAAAAAAAAAAAAAAAAACAAAACAAAAGTTCAAAATTAGTTGCCGAAAAAACAGCTATACTAGGAAGGTACTGCACAAGCGCTCCTGGTGGAATAAATGTACATAATATCTATAGATATATCACCATCCATATTAATTTTACATGGATATATATAGATATACAGTCTTGTGCTTTTCGTTTTTTATTAATTGTAATTAAACAACACTGAATTAATTAGCCATTCGCATTCGGTGACCTACAATTGTCGATTAGAATTAAAAAAAAAAATTTAACTTAGATAATTGATTTTTTCACAAGTTACAGTGTTTCCGGAGTTTCATACATGACGGACAGGAAAATTTTTTGGCTTATTTTGATATTTTTTCCGTTTCTATTGCACTAAATTAATTTTTAGAAAGTATGGAATTAATCTCCATTAAATTATCTCGACAATAGTATGCAAAATATCTTGATTCCGTGAACTAACAAGGCTATAATACTAAAAATAGTTGCCAAAATGAGGCAAAAAAAATTTTTCGATCGTAAAGCACTCTCTGATGCTTCGCATCATGAGTCGTGCAAAATTGTCAGTGCGAATTTTTGAAAATATTTTGTTTTACCATGACTGATTTATTATAATATTCTCAAAAATTGTCAAATATCTGCGGATCTATAATTTTTTTTATCTGACGAGATCTGGTTAAATATAATTGAATGAAGTACTTAACTCGATTTTTTCAAAATTGAATCAAAAATTATTGCAAAACTATAAAACAGCAAAAAAAATTGATCACTTATATATTAAAGATAAAATTAAATTCATAATTTGAATTAATTAATGATATTTGACGAATGGTAGTGCTGACTTAAATTTTTTCGTATAACCTATCACTGAAACATCAACAAAGTACAAGTATTATTAAGCTTAAGTATTTTACTTTCGCTCGACTAATGGATAATAATAGATTTATTAGTCATAAAGTATGATATCAAGATAAAAAAAACCGGATTATATCTTAATTCTTAATAAAATCATATGACGAAACGATGAATAGTTAAACTACTTCGATTTTTACAACTTATAAATAATGATCACACACTGTTCCAGATTCAATGTTACTAAAAATTTATAAAAATTAAAAGGGAAAAGATATAAAAAAAATTTTTTAAAGCTCCTAAACTTTTAAATTTGCTCTAAATTCGTTAGTTTTTCACTACTAAATAACCGCAAGCTGTCAAATATAAATGTAAAATTGTAAATAACAAAATAATAATAGAGAAGACTTATTACTTAAAAAGGAAAATTCAATCTCAAGTAATGGCTCTGTAATTACCTACGTATTTCGAGGCGGAACCTTAATTACTATTTCTACTTTATATTAAATACGAAACTAAAGCGCAATCGTAAAATTTTATATTTCAAGTAAAAACTCATTTCAATTATATTCATATTATTTTAATAATCTATAAGGTGCCTACATTTCATAGAAATAATAACTTAAAAAAATAAAAAAAAGATCAAACAAATATATAACAACTGAAAACTAATCAATAAGTTTGAACTCAAAAATTCAATTTGTAATTCAAATTTTTTTACTTTTATCCCACAAATTTCTATTTGATAATATAACAACATTAATGAAAGTTAAAAAATGTAAAAATAATACACTGTGTATGAATAAATTGACTTTGCAACGAAATTCAAATGCATTTAATATAGCTTTTTAGTACATTTTAATGCATCATGATATCTATTTAATTATTACATTTACAGTTTAATAAATACAAATTTAAATAATAACATTTTTAATTTTCGAGTACTCGAACATTATTTAATTTATAGTATTTATAAAATGTCACGATGATGTGAAATATTTCTCATGTTTATATTAAATTTTACATGATGGCTTTACGAAAAGATAAATATTAATAAAATGACTATCCAACATAACCTTAAATAGTGTTTTTTCAAAACAATAATCCGGTTATCTGATTTAAAGATTCAATGTTTTAATTTAAATATCCAACGAATCGCTCTTGTAAATATATACAGTTTCGTTAAAACAGGCAGCTATTTTGTCATCGAGATCTATATAGCCAAATATAACTAAATCTGACGCCTAAAATAGTAATACGAATGTCATTTTGATAATTAACCGCGAGAAAACTCAGGAATTCCTATTTAGCTGAATTGGGTATACGGCGCACAGAAAAAAAAATTTATTTGAATCAAGTAAATAATTTTGAAGAACTTCATCTTCTTGATTTGAGTAGAAAAATTCTTAAACTAAGAAATTTTTCTTGATTCAAGTAAATTTTACTTAATTCAAGAATTTTTTGTCTTGATTTAAGAAAATAAAACTCTTTAAAATTATTTTCTTGTCTTAAGAATTTTTTCTCTTAACTCAAGAAAATCATTTTCTTCAAAATGGTATACTTAGTTCAAAATTGTTTTTCTTGAATGAAGATAATTTTTTTATCAGTGTATTCTCATTCTAAAAATATTTTTCTTTCGTGTTGATATGGAAATAATATCGATCGCGGGACATTGCTGCAATAAAACCAATTTATAAATTTTTTCCATAAGAGATGGTCGAAATAAGTTAAATTAATATGTATCAAAATTACACCATTCGAAAAAGTTCAATAAAATACAATAAAAATAAATCTTAATATTATTCAAGTCTCATCAGTGAGTGAGTACCATGGTGAGGAATTACGACTCACAAAGATATCACGGCATGATATGGGTGCATATCTGTGCATTGCGAGTAACGGAGTGCCACCAGCCATCAGCAAGCGCATCACGATCAACGTTCATTGTGAGTATAATTAGTAATTAGAACGCGAGTTGCGGGTTAGATTGGGTGCTCTTGAGGGATGTTGCTTTACGGCTGTGCTGGGGTAGTGTATTGTAAGTTGAGTGTGTATATCAGTAAAATAGGGCTTAGCTATTCGGATTGTAGGGTGTTGTGAGTTTAAAGAGGTTTATGTTGGTAAGGCGGCTCAACTGACTTTTGAATATAATAAGGGCGCATTCTGATATCAATCCTACGGGCATATAAACCTTCTCTTTAACATAAGTTAGTAGGCTTATTCATCTTATATTCATTATTCATTACCATTATCATTATCATTCCTGTTGCCTTAGTACAGAGTGTGCGTCTATTTTCTGCCGCCTTTTCTTTTGACTCATTCTGCGCGTTGTGAATCGCCATTTATTCTTGTGCTGTGTTTATTGGACTTGCTAAATTCGGGTCTTTGAGTGAAACGTTAAATCTTCATTAGATTTTGCTGACTTTCCTCATAATCTTTATAATTCTTTCTCAGCATTTGTTGAGGTTAGCTCGTGGTTATCTGACGCCTAGATAATTTTCGAGCGGTATTTATCTACTTGCGCTACAGTTATCTGCAGAATCAAGTGGTGGGGACATCTGTTGTGTGAACTTTCTAACCTTATCAGCATGCCATCGATCACGTGTGCTCTTTGTTTTGAAGTGATTTCGCGCGCTTCGGATTCGGTTACCACGGGTGCATCTTGTAAACATTCTTTTCACACTGAATGCCTTTGTGTTAAATTAAAGGGAAAATGCCCTGACTTTGCTGCGTATTTGCGTGAAGAGTGTCCGAGCTGCAGTGTGACAGATGTCTCTATTAAAAAGCTTCTTGAGGCAATCAGCTGCAAGCTTGATGGCCTAAAAACTTGTGAGAAAAAAGTAGATAAGTTAATTGAGGACTTCAACACTCTTCGAGAAGATCTTAAAGAGTTGAAGGCTGCTCAAAAGAAGACTGATGCTGATGTCGTAAGTCTCGGTCAGCGGCTTCATGCGGTAGAATTAAGTACTGGTGAGGCTAAGGTGGCACTTTCAGTTGCTGACGAGACAGTATTGTTGCGTGCTGCTTGTGATCAAGTTTCTAATCACCTGGTAGTGAGTGGATTGCCGGAGACTGGCAAAGATGACGCCAAGCTGCTCGCTACTGCTCTTACAGATGCGCTTGACACTCCTTTGGAGCCAGGGGTTCTGGTTGACGCCTTTCGAGTTAGGAAAAAGGCTCATGCCAAAGGTGCGCAGCGTGGAGGAGGCTCAACAGGATCGCGTTCGCTCGTTATTGTTTTTAACAACAAGGACTTTTGCAAGAAGTTAGTAGCTGCTAAGAAGAGTAAACCGAACTTAACTGCCAAGGAAGTTGATGGGTCTTTTGCGGATACCAAAGTCTATGTTAATCACCGTCAGCCAGTTCAACTGTATCATCTCAGAGACCGTGTTTTGCAAGCTTTCCCTCAAGTCCAACGTAGGCACGTTTGGATAGCAGGTGCTGCAGTTTTCATGAGAAAGTCTGATGATTGTCGGCCGATTAAAATTTTGCCGTCGACGGACCTGCAGAAGATCGTCATCTAGCTTTTTAGGCCTCTTACGTCATTGGTTGCCGACAGAAGTGTTGAATTTCTAGTGCTCATTCTCCAATAGTGCCTCTTTGGAAATTTCATGACTTTCACAGACTTATTGATGCGCTTGTAGTGCTATCCAGTGTTACATGATACTTGCTTTGCCTTATTATTCATATTTTCATTTTATTCTGAGAAATTATTTTGATTGCCTTTTGCTATAAATGAGATTCTGTTATACTTTCAACTAAACTGCTATGATTAATGACGAGAAGAGACATTAGTTGAAGACATTTTGCTTTCTGCGCTTTCTATATTGTTTCTCATTATATATTGTTTTTTCCTTTTTCATTTCTTTTTGACAAAGCACACTCTGTACAATAGTTTTCTTCTGTATAAATAATTTTTTTCTTTTATATCTTTGTATATTCTGTACCTTTTGGCTATCAGGGGACTTAGTCCTATAGCCAGTAAATAAATACATTACATTACATTACATTACATTATTATAAGGAAAAAAGGATAGAAATTGATAACATATTTTCATATAAAAAGTAATAAATTTTTGACAAAACATATTTTTCATAAAAGTATTAAAAATTTTATTAAAAAACATATATTGTTTTTATTAAAAATATAAAAAACACCTAATCTATAAATGTAACACTTAAATTTTATAAAAAATGTATCACATAATTTTTAAGTCTTTATGAAAAAAACGCAAACAAAAAAAGAATAAAATAACATTTTGTTCATTTTAATCATTTTTATATTCATTTTTTTTTTTATTCATTATTTATTTTATATTCAATTTTTTAGAAAAGAAATTTGTAAATGTTAGTTTATTCTTTTTTTGTTTGCGTTTTTTCATAAAGACTTAAAAATTATGTGATACATTTTTTATAAAATTTAAGTGTTACATTTATAGATTAGGTGTTTTTTATATTTTTAATAAAAACAATATATGTTTTTTAATAAAATTTTTAATACTTTTATGAAAAATATGTTTTGTCAAAAATTTATTACTTTTTATATGAAAATATGTTATTAATTTCTATCCTTTTTTCCTTATAATAATAATAATAATAATAATAATAATAATAATAATAATAACAGAATAAATTTAAAAAAAAATTCAAAAAAGGAAAAATTAAAAATAAAACATAAAATTAATAACTAATTTAATAATAATAATAATAATAATAATAATAATAATAATAATAATAATGAAAATGAAATAAAATTTTAGAAAAAATTAATTTTAGGTTAGGAATGATTTTTAGGTTAGGATTAAATAATAATAAACAAGTTTTCTTATCTTTTCTAGATTTATTGAAACTTAAAATTAATTGTCACATAAATGACAGTCTTTCACAAAAGGGATTAAACAATCAAATTCATCGTAATCGATAGCTATTGGTAAATAATGCTTACGACAACGACGGTACTTTTGAATATTTTCATTATCTTGAATTTTTTTCGGCAATTTCTTCCAAATTCGATCGATTTGATCTGATGCATGATGAATAATGAAATCTATTGGTAGAAACGCAAGATCTTCTGCACTCATATAACTAATATTTTCATACAATTGATAATAAATTGCAATTGATCGGCTGATTGATCGATTTATGCAATTGTTCAAGAACCTATCTTTCAGACATTTCACATTATTAAAGGCACATGAACTATCCAACCATTTGTGACATCCTTTCAGTGGACATGGATACTTCATGTTGAATGTATTCAATGATGGGCAATCCAGCAGTTCCAAATTTATGACAAGTTTTCGATGATCAAACATTGACTCCAGCCACTGTTTTTTAGCAGAGCCTTTGACATATATGTAGCAGCTACTTTTCACGATAGTGTTCAGAATGTCTTTCACATTATCGTATGGTATTGTCCCAGAGTTCCAATTCAGGCCGTGATGATGATTCGTTAACCAATTGTTTTGATGTATTTCAAATTCAGTCAATTCTTTTTGCTCACATGGTGGTTTAAACAATAAATAAGTAGAGTCTTCTAAGTCTTCAAAATTTTCACCTAGTTTAACTGTTGAAAGTTCTTTAACAACAAATCTATTTGAAATAATAAAGCCTTGCACATCTACAACAATAGTAGCCATTTTATCAAGCACTGTTCACGATGGAAGCTAGTTTGCAACTGGTTAAAAACTTCAATAGCTGATATTTATATAGTGTTGAGTACTGACATCTAGCATTATTTCATTCTCTTCCTAGAACAAGAAATACGTTGAATTTTTGGAACTCTAAATCCGTTGAGTTTCCTCAAATAATAAGTACGTTGAGTTTTCTGAACTCAAAATACGTTAAGATTCCTAAAATTATATGTCCCTTGAGTTTCTCAAGAATATTTTAGTAGCACCTCCCTCTAAAAACCGTTGTACTTATTCCTAAGAATCTGATGTAATATTTTAGTCACGCCCTCTTCAAAACCGTTAAAATTTTTCTCGATAATCTGATGAAATAACCAAGTATGCTTAGTTTTTCCAAGAATATTTTAGTAACGCCTCACTCAGACTATTGCTTTCAGTAGTTGACTAAACTATAGAATATGTAGAATATTCAACTAACGCCATCTACAAAGCTATTTATCCCCATACTTTACCATCCCCCACTTGCTCACTAATCCCGCCTCTGAAATCTACGTGACCAATGAAAAGATGTTTGACAAAGCTTGTACTAAAAAATTTTTAGAACTATTGTAATATTTTTAGAACTGATGTAATATTTTTAGTAAATTGCATCATCTTTGAGATTACCAGTGTCCCCACCAGAGTTCTCGTGGATATATAAAGATGACGAGCTCACTGAGCGATCATAAAACTTTCTGACTTGTAAACAAGCAACATAACCTACAAAGTATAGTTTTTTCTTCAACTGTAATTTTGAAAAAAGTTATAAACAAGTGTTTGTGAGTGTTTGCGTGTATTTTTTAAAAATGAATACCGATGAGTATGATGAAATTATTCAAGCCATGGAAAGTGCCTATGATGAACTTCCTGGTCTATCACCTGCTGATCATGATCAGATTATTAACGAGTGGAGTGATATTGCAGAAGAACACATTAATGCTCTGACAGAAATTTTGAAATGAATTTTTTAAAAATAGTAAAAATTGAAATTTGGGGATGACCGTAGTTCCGACTATAGCGACATTACTCTAGATTAATAATCTTTTTTATTTTTTTGTTTCTGATTGCTAAGAGGGTTGGAATCGTGGGTATCGTCACGTGCCAATTTTTTGAGACACCCCCACTTCATCAGCTGCTAATTTTTTGAATTTTCAACTTTTTTCATTTTTTTATTTTTTTCTATATTCTTATAATGTTAATAAATAACTTATAAAAAATGGATGGTAAAAATATTGATTGCCTTTTTTTTACGGCACTTTAAAAATTACCTGAAATTTCATGCTTCTAGACCAGAATACCCCCTTAAATTAAAAACTTGTAACTCTTGGTATTTTTAATTAAAATAATTTTTCATCAACCAGGAATATAAAATTTTTAAAACGAAACTATTCTTTGATTTAGAGAGTTATGGTTTTTGATGAAAAATTTGATTGTCTCTTTGAAGAAAATGAGTTTCAAGAAAAGAAATTCAAAATAATATTCTTGCATTAATTAAGAATATTTCTCTTGAATCAAGTAGTTTTTTTTTTTTTTTTTTTTTTTTTTCAGTATAAAAAAAGAATTTATGATTTGTCATGCATGAAATTTGATTAGACAAAAATTTTTGTTAAAGTAAAATTAAATGATTGATTAATATTTTGCAATAAATGCGTAAAAATTATTTAAGACAAGAATAAAAATTTATAGGTAATTGTCAAGTTTTTTGTACATTCAAGTTTTGAATGAATTTTTAAAAAGTCGATACTTTAGCGTAGCACATGAACGTCCAGAAATGTCTCAAATAAATCTTATGATTTTTTTCCATTATGTTTATTTATATTTGAATATAGTATATAGTTTATTTACTGAGAAGTTATTGTTCAAATGTTCTCAATACGGTTGACCGGTGTCACTCGTTTCCGTACCGTAGGATTTTAGATCACTCGGGCGAGCAAAGCTTCTTGAGTAAAACTTTCGATAAACTTAGAATTCCCTCGGCTACTGCATTCGCGGTTCTTAGCACCCGGGGATAGTGGTTACGGTGATGGGGATGCTATAAAGGTGCTTGTATAGATGGAGGTCCAGGCCAACTGAGAGAGAATTAAACCGATGGACGGACAGTCAAGCGCCCGACAGAGAACGAGCTGACAGGCATCAGGAAACGTCTCTCTTGCTTGTTTATTTAACACTTTTTCATTTTTGGCTCTTTACTTAAAGACGTGACTTTGAGTAAAATAAATTTCATATATTTTTTTTTATTTTTAGTTTTATATCCCCATATTTTTTCAGACGACATGATAATATCTGGAGTACGACACGAGGTCCAAGTCATACCCAAATCAGCATTTCAAGTTAAAATGGTACTTACTATTCGGAATCTCCAGAAACAGGATTTTGGATCGTACACGTGTGCCGCGAAAAATTCACGTGGTGATGTTGATTTCAGTATCCGACTTTATGGTAAGAATTCACATACATCTACATATTTATTAATAAATTCATCTAATATTAATTGTTTACTTCAATTGTCATATTATAAATTTAAATAATAAAATTTTAAGGTATTATTTCATAATTTTATGACGATGTCATAATTTTTAACGTAAATTGACGTTATAAGAAATTAATACGAGAATTCTTTTATAAACATTTTAATTTATGGATGAATCATATTAAATTAATTCATTAATTAATTATTCTTGTACGTGTAAGCGTACTTACTATCTTATTTAATTTTCGATTACGAATACTAAATCCGATTTAATAAAGTTAACTTTGTTCTTGTGATATAAAAAAATTATTACACGCCGCTGTGGGAAGACAACTGCAATTAAATTGAAGACAGTTGACTGGATTATTTTTCGATTTTATTAGTCAAAAAAAATGAAAATTTAATGTAAACTGTCAGAGAATGCTAATATCCGTTAATTAAATTCTTTTATTTTATACAATTATGTAAAATTTTCATATCTTCAAGATTGATTATCTTTGCACATGAATATTTTTGAAATAAGTCAGTCGAAAAAACTATTTCTCGTATTTTAATACATAGACTATTTAAATAAATTAATTGTTTATTAACCACTGTAACATTTTATTAACAGGAGTGTTTCATTACGGGATAATATTTCATTTTATAGTAAGTTGGAAAAAACAATTTATTTGTGTGGTCTTTTTCGTGACCCAAAGTAATTGTTTAGATGTGAGTTCACCTATTTTCAAGGTTTCCAATTTCGAAGATGACCGCATATATATAAATGAATCGTTTCAATCTGTCTAGTTATAGCGTGCACACAAAAAACAAATTTCTTGCGCCAAGAAAATTTTAAGGAAAACGAAAATTATTTTGGAGCAAGAAAATTTTCTTAACTCAAGAAACTTTAACTTATAATTCATTCAAGAAATTATTTTCAACCTTCCTTAATATTTTCTTGAGCCAAGAAAATTTACACTTCAGTCAAGAATTTTTTTTTTCAGTGTGAAGTTAAGAAAATATTGAGATGTATAATTTTTCCTCACATCTATGAGTCTTTGGAAATAATTGGAAGTAAACTTTAAGGTTCAAGTAGAACAAATCAAAATTAAGTCAGCCAACGTTTTATTTGAACATTAACTTGAACAGAATATTTACCCGTCTTTATTAAAATAATTTGTATTTAAAAAAAATTTTTGTGATACAAAATCTGTATCTTATTTATTTTTAAATGGAACTTATAATACGGCTTTTCTATTGTCGCCTCGGTTACAATAGACCGTAAATACGCGTAGATAGAAATTTTTGACTGGTATTTCTATTAAGAATTATGTTAATATTCAATGCACAAATCCCTAGGTTACATATTTCTAACTTACTTATTTTTGAGAATAAATATGAAAAACAAAAATGTAAACAGCAAAGATATATAACCTTTACTTGGATTGAAAAAAACAGTAAGTTTGCGCATGCGCTGAAAAGTGATATGAAATTTACACCAATACATTTTTGTAATACAATTTTTGTATCAACTGTGATTCTAAAATTAAACCACTCTTGAAATGCAATTTTAGTATCACTTTTGGTGTAGATTTTAAATAAATATTTTTTTCCGTGTACACTAGTGTAGCTGAAAGAACAATTAACTTGAATCAAGAAAAAAATTCTAGAACCAAGAAAAAATTTTCAAGAGTTTCATTGTGTTGAATTAAGACGAATAATTCTTGAATCAAGTAAACTTTACCTAACAGGCGAGACCAGTGATTGCAGTTTCGATCGGTTTAGCGAAAAAAATGGAAATTTTGAAAAAATGTTTTTAGAGATAATAGATAATTTAATAATAAACTATTTCACCACAAAGTGTTTTTTTCAAAAATTTCATTCGTTTCGTGAAACCAATCGAAACTGCAATTGCTCTGCTGTTGGGAGTGCGACAGAGATAGTTTCGTTGAACTCCGTGAGAGCAAAGCGAGAAAAAGATGGTCTCACCTGCTAAACCAAGAAAAATTTCTTAGTATAAGAATTTTTCTACTCAAATCAAGAAGATGGGTTTTTCAAAATTGTTCACTTGATTAAAGTAAATTTTTTTTTCTGTGTACGCGTTGTGGGGAATCGCTGCAATACTTTTTAACTCAACAACATAGAAAAAGAAAAATGCAAAAATTACGTTTTATATTAAGGAAAAAGCCCCTAGGGGCTTTTACCTTATAACGTGGCGTTTCAAAAAAAAAATTATAAAAATTCAAGTTTCAGATTATAATTTTCTACAATTTCTCTGAAAATATAATTTTAAACTGTAAGAATTACATTCTAAACCGTAACAACAAATATTTAACAAATTGAATTTATAGAAATATTATTTCAAACTGTCAATTTCCCAGTTTTTTTTTCCGGAGCGCTACGTTTACAATATAAAATATAACTTGTGTATTTTTCTTTTTTCCGTGACAGTTGCCGAATCCATTTTAAGCGCGTAATTATTATTTTATAAAATTTCAATTAACTATAAGTACATTATTTTTTACAATTTAATGTGATATTTGAAAATTTGTCAACCCCATTAAAACTTTTGTTATCAAAAAAAAAAAAATACTTGAGTATTTATTAGCAATTTTGCAAGGTCTAATAAGAAAAGACGCAATTTCTTGAGACATTGCTACTTTGAATCAATTAAAAAAAATTAAGGCAAACTTAATTAAAAGTTTTTTATTTTTTTTTATATTCCTTGCTGGTGTAGTCCAGCTGGACTCTATGAATATCATGTACAGCCAATGTTTGTTCGGCAATGAGCCGAGTCCTCACAGTTGAAGATAATCGAAAATTAACCTGGCGCATAGCGAAAATTATCCGACCATGGTGGGACTCGAACCCATGCCTGGCCAGTACCCGTAGTTCGAAGTCAAGCACGTTGGCCGCTCGGCTACAAGTACTGGTTTTAATTAAAAGCTTAAGTCTAAAAACGTTTTAAGATTAATAATAACTGAGTTCTTCAATAATTCAATAATTAGCAAAAAAAATTTGATAGTTTTTGTAATATTTCAAATCAAGACCAAAAATATCTATTTCAGCTTAAATACTTTATCTACCGAATGTTTTACTTCAAAATATTAACTTCAGATTATTTTAACAATAAATATATTCATATATGAAAAAAAATCTAAGTGCCATTTAAATAATATTCTTCCTATAAATATTGAATTTTATCATCAGAAAATTTAAACACAAAATAACTTTTTAAAGAGACCGAATACCTATAAAATAATTCATAATTACGACGTGATTGGAACTTTTACTGGGTATAAATTAATTAATCGCTAGACTATTACAGCTCTTCATTCATTTAACAGCGACTGAACTATTTTTAAATAAATTACAGAGATATCGGGGCCATCGAGACCGGGAAACTCTGCTCCGACGTACTACGATGAAGAAGAAAACATAGAAGAAATAGTGTACGGATCGGCGGACCTTGAGAAGATGGAAAATAAAGCGTACGCGGTGGACAACACAGTGCAAGGTCACATGGGAAATTTCTTTGGAGCTTCGAGCCCTTCCCCACCGACAAAAGTGATCCGAAGAAGGCCGATTTCCGGTACTGGTTCATCTCCAGGAAATCGTGTTTCAGCCTCTCCTCACCCTTATTTCCACAAACTGACACACGTCTGGCTGGTGATTTCGTTAATCATAAAATGCTTCCTATGAGTAATTGTTGCTCTACTCATAAAATAAAAAAAAAAATTAATCAATTAATTAAATGAAAAAGAGCCTTGCGGGCCTGTACTCGTCTACTTATCACAAAAAAATGTATAAGCTTAAAAATATTATACATAACATAAATAAATGAAGTATAACAGCGTCGTTGCTATATTGTGGAGGTCTAGACTCTAGACAGAAACGGACATATCGTTATAGTGAAATTGTTTTTTCCAGCTAAAAAATAATATTTAATATATGTTATTGTCTTGGAGAGACACTTTAAATTGTGCAGCTTGTATGAAAATATACATATAAATATAAATATGAATATAAATATATATATATAAATACATATATAGATGTAAAAAACATATATTTTTTTTTTAACAAAGCTGACACAAGAAGAGCCGACTCGCTTTACGCTGGAAACAGATGGCTATGTCTTCCAGCCTAGTGTGTAAAATTATTAAATATTGTTACTGAATTTTTCCGATCGTTTCGAGTATGAAAAAGTTTATACAATACCGATAATATAAACTAATGAAATAATTTACTAACACAGTGAAATTAATTTAAAAAACAATTATTTACAACACCTGCATTCAAACTTGGAGGTTCAATGTCTGTTCAGTCGATCGGAATACTAGTAGAAAATTTCATACGGATTCGTGGTCTCATACGGAAACCAACTAGTTTAGGATCTATAGAAGCACTAGGAAAGAAATTGGATTGTTTTTGCAAACTTCGACAGTTTATAACTTTATTTCAAATAGTCAGAATCGCGTTTGTTTGTTGTAAACTTTGATAAATTAAAAATACAAGTTTAGGAAATTTTAAAAAGCGTTCAGTATCGATCTTAAATCGTAAATATGATTGGTAGTATACATCCAAAAATTAAAAAACTATTTATTTTCTTATTGTAAAAATAATATAAAAACGTACAATAGGAAATTAAAAAAAAAACTCTTCAATTTATTAGATTTTTTTTTTTTTGTTAATTATTGAGTATGAAATTACTTAAAACTTAAAAAAAAATTAATTCAAAATCTTGAATGCAGGCGCGATAAAAAATTCTATGGCTAGGGATGAAATACGATTAGAAAAGCTCGGTAGTAACTGGACCCTCCTCTAGAATCATATTGTTTTATCCTTAATACACGATCTTAATTCCTCGAATGTGTTCACGGTAGATAGTCATGATCATGAAGCATATTCGTGTATTATAACATGTAATTAAATAATAAATGTAAATAAATAATAATAACTAATAAAAATAACAATAAAGTCTGAACGATAAGTATTACGAGCATATCAAAAGTTTAGATAACTATCACTTTTAATTGTTTACTAACTTTTATATGCTTGTAATCTAGATACATATTATCATTATTATTAATATATATATCCATGTTATGTAAAGGACATGAATATAAATATATTTAAATGAGATGACTTTCAAAGTGACAGCTTTTATGCTCGATACAATTAACAAGGTTATATTTATCATTATCGATATTATTATCATTATTGTTATCAATATCAATAGACATGAATTCAATTGTTACTTTTGCATCTGGAATTGACGGGATGTCGTCAGGAAAATATCACGTTTAATATTTCCATTGTTACCCGTGATTCATATAAAACTGGTAAATTTAGTATTTTTTCCGATTTTCAATTGTTGTTATTATTATTAGTATTATTACTATAATTTTAAATATATTTTTAGATGCTGTTGATTATTTATTTTGATTCATTGGAACAAAGCGTAATCTTAAATAGATACGGATCCTCGAATGGTGTAAATTAAGTAAAGAGGATTGTAAAATAAATATAATAAAGAAAAAAAGGAAATAAACTTTTTGCTGGTGCAAATATAATTTATTAAGATTTATTTCTAGTGCAGTATCTTGTATACTAAGTAAATAATACAATAACAAAGTGTTACAGCGGCAAAGAAGTAGACGAACGCAAGAATAAAGAAGAAGAAGAAAATGGAGAAGAAGGGTGAGTAGCGAGGGTGAAAGTTTTGATGGTAAGACGTGAGTAGAGTGATGTAATAGTGATGAGGAGTACAAGAAAGACATCACACGATGGGATGGATTCGCACGAGTCCCGGATAAATATAAAGGATATTTATTCCTATAACTATGTATAGATAAATAAAAGTATATATTTTATAAAAAAATCTTTAGTTCGTTCATAAATAAACACAACTGCCCGAACATCTGGCGCGGACGTAATTCATCGTGAATTAATTTAAGGGTTTGTGTGTGGAGGTGTGTGTGAGAGTGTGTAAATGGCATGTGTCTTCGTTTCTCTTAGTAACTGCTTCCTTATACCCTAGACGGTGCCTTCCTTCAACTTATTTGTTCTATACTTCTATTCTTTACAGCGAGGTTCAGTAAAAGTAGTATAGAACGAGAACCAGAACCAGAACGAGAAGCTAAACCTGAACCAGAAGTAGTGGAACGGGACTGTAGTATGATAAGGGGGGTTTAGAGCCCCTTTCATTAAGGTCTGCTGGCACCATTTGGTGGCTCGCTTTTATGCTGATTTTATTTCACTTCTTTCGCGAACTTGAGATCTCAGTAATTGTGCGGTTTATATTTTATTACCTCTGGCTGGATATAATGGCCGCGTAAAATATGGCTCGTCGAACATGCTCCCATCACTCTCTTCTTCTTCTTCTTCTTCTTCTTCTTCTTCTTCTTCTTCTTCTTCTTCTTCTTCTTCCTCTTATTGCTTTTCTCCCTCTTATCCTTCTCATTCTTATTCTTATTCTTTTAGAACTTCAAGGTGTTCTTCTCTGGTTGTTCTTGTTTTTATTCGCTTTTTAGTTCTGCTTTAGAGTCTCTTTATTTTTATATCTCTGTGTTTCTGGCTCTATCATGTGCGTTAGACAAAATAATAGATTGCGAGCAGTTCAAGAAGACGACAGTAAACGCGGCTCTATTTCACCGAGTCAAACTTTATTCTTACCAAATTATTACGAGAGAAAAGGAGGCAATAAAACTAGTTTTAAAAACATTTTTATTAAAGATAAAACGTTGAAAACTTAAAAGTTATTCACATTCTATGCGTTTATCTGACTTTACTTCGAACAATTAAAGGCTTATATATAAAATTATAAAAAAAATATGAAAACAAAATATGTATCCCCACCTATTTACGCACGACTAAATCCATATATACTAATTTTGATTTTATTCGTCAAGTATAAGTATTGAGAATTTGAATATTTAATAAGAACTAGATTTCAAACGAAGGTTCATTTATCGAGTAATTCACTTATTGAAAATAATCAAGTATATAACAAATATAAAAATGTATTATCAATTATAAGAACAGTCAATTAAATATAATAAATTATTAATTTTTAACTCGATTGATGATCTCTACTTTATAAATTGAATTTTAATGTATAATACTACTTTTTAAATCGATTAAAATAAATTTCCGGGATAAAGAATTTAAAAATTCATAATTGAATATTTTATGAAATAATCGCGATATCACGTTAACAAGATTAAGCCAATTATTTATTAATTCATTCATTTATATTTTATCGGCAATAAAATTTCATTATGTAAGATTAATTTTATATTTATTAAAGTGTATTTAATATTAAAAATTTTTCGATCAAAAAACATTTTTTTATTATGAAAATGTGAATTTTTTTTTCGAGATAATTTATTAAAACCGCTGTTAGATTAAATATTCATTCTGTTAAAAAGTTGTTTCAATCAATTATTGTGCAGACATTTAATTAATTAAATGAATCAGTTTAAATTTGAGTAACTACAATGAATATATTTATTGGCACAGTGAATGAAATTGTCGATCAGTTTCAATGAAATAATAAATTTAATTATTTTATCACTTTTTATTGAATAAAATAAATGTTAATAAATGAAATATTTCTCTTTAGAATTTTTTATGTAAGTCATTTTAAATAAGGAATAAAAAAATAATTTATCAGTTGAAAAACGAACATGAAATTTAAAGTCCCATCGATATTATTACATAAAATCTGAAGTACAAATTAAGAAGTTCGGAATCTAAAAAAATTTTAATTGACGCTTGCTGTTAAGCTTAAAGTACTGCTAGTAAAATATAATGGTTAAAACTAGCGCAGTATAGTACTAAAAAAGTAAAATAAAATTTGTAGGATATTATGTCGAGTTCAGGAGACACGGCGAGGATCTCTAGCGCACGTGCCCAGTGTAAGGGGTAGCATTCAAACACTTGGCACCAGCCGGCGCCTGGTATGTGACATGAATATTTGTTTCTAATAAGATATGCCACCGTACGGTGCCGCCACTTGACGTGCAAGATTCACCGTCAATCCCGGAAATTCACATAGATCGAATAGAAACGATGCAAATTCTTATACAAGAACGAAACAACAAAATGATCGATTTGAATCAGAGACCATAAGAATTATTTTTACTTTTTTTGGATACCTAAAGATGTATTTATGTGGAAACAATTTATTCAGTTTTTAAAAATAAATGACTTTTTTTTTTTACTTGTAAGAAATATTTTTTTTAATAAAAAAACATTTATTAACACTTTTATTAAATACCATTACCTTTTACAATAAAAATGCGGTACTCTGATAATTTTCACCACAAAAAAAATTCTGTAATCTATTATTCATTTTTTTTCTTGCACTTTTTTAACTTCCCGTTAAGAAAATTGAAAATTTTCCAATAAAGGGAAGTTATTGACTTCAATCCGATTTCTAGAAGTCGAGTTTTCATCGGATCTCCACGTTTTGAGGTCCCAGGAAGCCATTCTGACTACTCCACCGAGATGTCCGGCCGTGGTTGTGTGTATGTAAATAAATTTTTGTCATACAGTTTCTCAAAAACGAATCAACCGATTAAATTCTTCGACACGTCATTCGAAAGGGTTTATCGAAACTTAGATCTGATTAGATTTAAGAGTTAATCCATCGAGCCATTCCGAAGAAATTAAAAAAAAAACCAAAAAAAAATTTGAATTTTTATGTTTTTTAAAAATAACTTTAAAGCGTGCGAAAAAATCATAATAAAACCATGTATATATTTTTTGTGCTTAAAAAACTGCATCGAAAGCTTTTTTGAAAATGAAAATCGAACGACGCATTCAAAAGTTATAATTGTTTAAAAATTCACAAAATTTTGTTTTTCGGTATTTTTTTTTATATTTTACAGATTGCAGTGAATGTTACAATTTCTCATGAATTAACTAAATTACAGAATTTTTAATTTTAAAGTAATATTTTCGTTATATATAGTGTTACAAAACAATTAATTAAAGACAAAGAATCAATTGACGGTTCTGATGTCGCCGATTAAAAGAAGATCAAAATAATGGTTTGTTACTCCATTAAGGACAAATTAGAAACAAATTTACTATCATCGCTACTTTTAGTGCAAATTATTATTATTATTATTATAATTATTGCTGTTGTTGTTTTTACTATTATTGTCTGCCATATAAAAATCATGTTACTGCCACACTCTCTTAAAATAAATCAGTGAAATTTCACTGATTCCAACCAGTGAATGACAATTTCACTGGTGAATTAGTGAACAAAATGTCTGCGCGCATGCACGCTGGTATGTCCACTGGTTAAATCAGTGAAATCCACTGATTCACCAGTGAAATTATCATTCACTGGTTGGAATGAATGAAATTCCACTGATTTTTTAATGTTGCTACCACAGGATTTTTATGTTGCTGTAACATGAAAATAATGTGGCAGCCACATAAAAAAATCATGCTGCTGTGATAGGAATGTATCATGTGGCAGCCCCTATTTTTTTCCGTGTACCTGGAACAAAAGTATTTTTCGCTTCACATTTGAATAAATGATAAAAAATTATTACAACTTTTTCAGTGAGTTTTGTCAATTTACATAGACCTAATAAAAATGAGTCGAAAGCTTCCGGAGTAAACAAGACAGAGACATAAATACATAAATATAAATCCAAGTATATATGGTAATAAAGGATACGAGGATATCGACAATCAATTGTTAGGGATGTACAAAATAAACAATACTAAAAAATGGACTCACATGATTGCATGATAGGGAATGTGATACCTTTGTCCACGGACAACATGGGAATAGAATTTCAAAGCCGTGGGATGTTGGCTACTGACTGCATGTACTACCAAAAGTTATTTTAAATCCAAGGTATAGAAATATCAGTGTTAATGAATAGCATAAAAGCCCGGACCTGAATAATGCATTCCTCTAACAAGCTCTCGAGAGTCGAAAAAACACTTGCAACAGACACCCCTTCTGTGATTCAACAAGCCTTCTTTCCCTTTTAAATAAGTCCGAGCCCGATTTTATATACCCGTTTAACATTACGACCTTCGTCTATTAGTCTGTAGACAATGCTCTTGAATTATATTACCCGACTTATTGTTCCAATTAAACATTGCATGTTAATATTTTCTTTGGAAGAATTTTTTTTTCTCTTAATTTATTCAGTTTTATGAAACTTAACGTAAATTCGAGTTTACCTTTAAAAAACAATTTTTTTTTTATTTTTTAGGTATTGTGAAAAGTTAATAAAATCAAATGAGTTTTAGCATTCTATTCATTTTTTAAAGTTATGTATTTTTTTTTTTCAAATATTTACACTGACGCTGAATAAATAAAATAATAATAAAAAATTTTTTAATAAAAAAAAAAGGCTGAATCTCGGAACCGTGAGCTTGAATTATTTTCGTCCAGACCAAGATTCTGTGACTTTCATAAATATTTAATCGAGCATAAGTAGAAAAAAATAAATAAATAAAGAAATAAAAAAGTAAAAAAATACAAAAAACGAGGATAATGATAATAATAATTGAATTTATTTAATATAATTTCTAATATGATAAATTTAAAAGTTATAATAAAATCAAATTCGACATAACTATTGCACGGTTGAAGTATCAAAGTAAATATTTTTATTGATCTAACAGTTAGAGGAAATATGTCTTTACACTTTTGAATTTCTCATGAACTATGTATACAAAGTAGCGGGAAATATTTATTGTTGCATTTTAAGTTACGTATTCGTTTGATATTTCTTTGACATTGAAAATAAAACGAGTAATAATAATAAAGAGGAGACTTTTTTCCTTTTTTCCTTCAATAAAGCGGTCGAACAATTGTGTGTGACGAGTGGACGGTCTTAAATAAAGGAAAATAATTTTTTTTTTTTTTTTTAAGAAAGCTCATAGTAGATGATGTCTGTCGGCCGGTGATGGCGACGGGAATACAAAGAGAGTCATCTCTATTTCCGTTTGCAATCGATAAGCCGGGCGAACGATGGACACGAGGAATGCGGCTTCTTTCACGAGAGTCTATCAAACAAAATGCACGAAAAAAATAAATTCAAGTTAAAGTAAAGGAACGGACAAAATAAAATAAAATAGAGCATTGTAGTCGAAAAAGAGTGAGTATGTATAAAGTGAGTACTGAATGAAAGGAGAAAATCACTGGGATTTAC